ATAAATTAGAAGAACAGACAAATAAGAATTCAGATATGAAGGCTACAGAAATACATTGATAGGTTAAGTGAGTGGGCAGAAACGTGGCAAATGGGTTATAATGTGGCAAACAGTGAAATTGTCCAATGTGCAAACAGGAAAAAGAAAGCATCTTCCCTAAATGATGAAAGAGTGCAGAGCTTGGAGATTCAGAGCGATCTGGATGTCCTTGCGCATGAATCTAAAATGGTTAGTATGCAGTAATTATCAAACAAACATTATCATTTATCTTGATGGAATAAAATACCAAAGTAGCGAAGTAATGCTTCAGTTATATAGACCACATCTGGAGAACTGTTCACAGTATTGGTCACCTTATTTAAAGAAGGTTATGAATATAACGGAAGGAGTTCAGAGGTGCTTTATCCGACTAATACTTGCAATGGGAAGGCTGTCTGCTGATGAAGGGTTGGACAGGCTAAACTGTACTCAATGAAGTTGAGAAACATAAGAGGCAACTTGGTTTAAACGTAAAAATCTTGTTTGGTCTTGACAGGGTAAATGTATGAGAGCATCTAGAACAAAAGGTCACCATTTAAAAACCAGGGATCACGCATTTAAAATAGAGATGAAGCCAATTTTGTTCTCCTGGGAGATCATTAGACTTTGAAATTCTTCATGGATAGATGGTGGAAGCAAAATCCTTGAATATTTTTAAGGCAAATGGATTTTTTTTAAAGCTAGGGGTTTAAAGGTTTCAAGTGTGGGCAGTAATGTGGATTTAAGGTTATAATGAATCAGCCATGACCGCCTGGGGAGAAGGACCAAGGGGCTGAATGGCCTACTTCTGCACCTGATTCACATGCTCGTATGTATAAATGGAGTACTAATATAGTTAACTAAGGAGAGAGAAAACCCTTTTAGCCTTCCTCCTCTTCTTGTAACAAATGCAAGCTTTGTGATTTGGGATAGAGAGGGCATTATGCAAGAGTGAGGATAATAAACTTTAGCTCCGAGACAGATCCCAGCTGGAAACAAGTAGAGTCGTTCAGTTTGTCAGCCACATTACACAGCATACACCATGGTGATTTTAAGCACCAGTGCTCATCGCTGAGATCCAAGATGGTGCTGACACTGTGTGACTCCTTGCAAGCTCCCTACAGCAGATCTAACTCTAACATTTCTTATAACCATTCTACACTTTTAAACTTCGCGCCCTGCGCAATGTAACCTGTATGCCTCTAAGTCTTTTTGATCCGTACATCCTTTGCTTACTACGATCTGCCTGCACCGCTCATAAACAAAGCTTTTCACTGTACTTTGGTGCACGTGACAATCAATCAAACAATCAATCAATAAATCAAGACTGCTCTTGAAGAAGGGTCTGCAAGCTTCATCAGATCAGGTAATTGTGGCTTTAAAAGCAAAATACTGTGGATGCTGTAAATCTGAAACAAAAAAAAACAGAAAATGTTGTAGAAACTCAACAGGTATGACAGCATGTGTGGAGAGACAAACAAAATGAAACGTTATAGTGTCTGATGTGATTCTTCTTCAGAACTGTTCCAGACTCAAAACGTTAATTCTGTTTGTATCTTCACAGATGCTGTCAGGCCTGCTAAGTTTCTTCAGCACTTTCAGCTTTTACTAAGACAATCGAGGCTCCCCGACATAAATAAGAGACTGCCTCTACTGGCCTCTTCACATTGCAGTCCTTTTCTGACCACGCTGTAGCTGGTGGGTAAGCCATAGTCACTTTCCCCGCTAGCCCGAGTTAAAATACCACAGGAATCGATGGATGTTACCGCACCCTGGTTAGCACTTTTGAAGAAGGATTGTCTGGCTTTCTATGGGGGTCTACCCAGAATGAAAGGGCCTGGTTAAAATGGATCCTAACAGCTTTCTGCAAGGTTACCTGACCTGTCTTAACTACATATCTGTCCCAGTAAAGTGTGTAGAGTTAAAAACCTTAAAAACCTGGGCACTGGAAAAAATAATCATCAATGAGAGGGGTCACTCAGCCTGGTGCTGCTCTGTCACTCGATCAATCATTTCTGGTAACGTTGTTCTGGCACGAAGCCAAAAAAGATTTAATCGGTTGCTACATGGACTAGAAGATTTGCATTATAAGGAAAGGCTGAATAGGCTGGGACATTTTTCCCTGGAACATAGGAGACTGAGGGGTGACCTTATACAGGTATATAAAATCATGAGAGGCATTGATAAGGCAGATCGCCAACGGCTTTTCCCCAGGGTAGGGGAGTCTATGCTCGACAGCATAGCTTTAAGGTGAGAGGGGAGAGATACAAAAGGGTCTAAAGAGGCCATTCTTTTCACACAGAGGGTGTTGCATGTCTGGAACAGGCTGCCAGAAGGAGTGATGGAGGTGAGTACAATTTTGTTATTTAAGAAACATTTGGACAGGTATAGGTATGGAGGGATATGGACCAAATGCAGGCAAATGGGACTAGATTGACTGCGAAAACTGGGCAGCATGGGAAAGTTGGGCCGAAGGGCCTGTTTCCATGCTGTACATCTCTATGACTCTACAGACAAATATGTGGGTGCATTACTATGGGACTGATGGGTGTTAGTTAATGAACCGTAAGTATTTTTTGACAGTCAAGGCAGAAAGTGGGCAGGTTCTGATGTCCATAGGGACTGCTATAAAGTGAACTTTTGACAGTATCTGGCCTCTGATGATTCATGCTGGGCAACTGGGGGTTTAATACGGCCAATACTATACTGACTTGTTAAACAGCATTATTCAGGGTTGGAATGACCATAACTCTATGGAATGGGAAGAGAGGGAAATAGAGTGAGTGAGGAGGTGACCTGGCCTGTGATTCAGACAGTGAGAATAGACAGGCAACAAGAGCTGGCAAGGTCAAAGGGTCAGTTGTGTGCGTGAGGAGCAAAGTTTATCTGGAAGGAGAGATAAAGGGGCAGAATAAACTCAGAGGAGAGCAGGATGGGGGTGGAGATAGAGATTGAAATTACAGAGGATAAGAAGTTACTCAACACAGAAGCTGAGAGGGGAATGGATTATGAACATCTTCGTAAAAAACAGAGCTGTAGCTTGGGATGGGCACGAGAGACTGAACAGAGTTAAAGCAGGAACAGGTGCTTGAGGGAGAAGACGCCAGACATAGGGCCACAGACAATTTAAAAATGACTATATAACAGAATAAAACATCCCGTGTTCCTTTGCAGAAGTGTTAGCACAATAAAATTAACACCGAGTCAAATGTTAGTGCAGATGATCAAAACGGTGGCTTTTACGGGAGAATCTTAAAGGAGGAAAGACAGAAGAGGGAGGTTTAAGGAGACAATTCCAGAACTTAGGATCTAGATAAATGAAGGCAAGGCCACCAATCATGAGTGAAGAGATCATTGGAAGGGTGAGGCCAATGGATAGATTTGGAAACAATCTATTTGAATTTGAAAATGTTGACATTCTCAAACCCGGAGCCAAGCTAGAACAGGGAGCACAAGGGTGTTGGGTGAACAGCATTAAGTAGGAATGGCTGCAAATGTTTCGACTTGGGAAAAAACATTGGAATAGTCAAGCTTAGAGGTCACAGAGGCAATGGTGAGGGTTTTCTCCAGTAGATAAGCTAAGGCATGACACCATCAGGTGACAGCGTAAGCAGGAGGTCTTGGCAATGGAGCGGATGTATGATCGGAAACTTATCCCAACGTCAAATAGTTTAACTTCAAACAACTACTGTGGGAAGGGATTGGGGCTTCTATCCAGGACTAAAGATTTATTTGGAACTATTTAATTGAGAGATTTGTTTTATTAAATTTACAGAATAAATGCTAGTTATAGCTGACATCTTCGAGGATCCACCTAGATGCATAAAGCTAGTGGAGCATGGTCTTGGTCTCATAAATCAAGTTGCATAAAGCAGTCCAAGGAGAAAGGGGGCCAGAATTGGTGAGGCTCCTTCAAGCAAATTTACTAACAAATCAAACGGGTAAAAGCTCTAATGCCTTGTACAGTCATTACAAAGTACTATAAAAAGAAATGCAGTTCATGAAGACTGGTTCCTGCTTGGTCAATCATATTGTTAAGATTCAGCCCTTTGAATCCACACTGACCCTCCCCAAGAGCATCCCACCCACACCTACCCCACTACCCTGTAACCCTGCATATCCCATGGCTATACCACCTAGCCTGCATGCCCCTGGACACTATGGGGCAATCTAGCATGGCTAATCCACCTAACTTGCATATCTTTGGACTGTGAGAGGAAACCCACGCAGACACAGGGAGAATGTGCAAACTCCACACAGTCACTTGGGGGTGAGGTGGGGGGGAAAGGGGGAAAGTCAAATCCAGATCCTTGGCACTGTGAACACAGTGTGGAGCTGGAGGAACACAGCAGGTCAGGCAGCATCAGAGGAGCAGGAAAGTCGATGTTTGTGTGTGGCATCATTGTGACACTGGAGGAGGCGCAGGATGAGCCTACCCATCCCACTGACCAATCCCCACCACTCCCTATCTGCATCCACCAATCACCATCCCACCTACCTTCCCCCAGCCCCACTCCTCCTCCATCTATTTATTTCCCAGCTCCCTTCTTCCTCCCCAGCTCTGAAAGAAGGGTCCTGACTCGAAACATTGATTCTCCTAATCCTCTTGATGCTGCCTGACTTGCTGTGTTCCTCTAGCTCCACGGTATTGACTCTGACTCCAGCATCTGCAGTTCTTAGTATCTTCCTTGGCACTGTGAGGCAGCAGTGCTAACCACTGAGCCACCATGCCGTCCGTGTTAATATTGTTGTCAAAGTTTAGAGAAACTGGTAGTGGGAAGTGATTTTCTTTCAGCACATACACATAGTCGATATCTGGGACACTAGGATTATTAGAGGGTTAAGACTGAGCAGGTCAATAAACTCCCACCATGAAGAAGAGCTGGTTGTTTTCTCACTAATCAGCATAGAATCTATTCACAGTCAGATTAAGGAAAGATAGAAGTCTACTCTGTAAATAATTAAAGATGTAACTAACTTACTTTGTCAAGCTCCTTCCTCAGTGTTTCATTAGTGTTATTTAATTGATTAATTGAATTCATTAATTCTTGTAAAGTTGTCATAGCCTGAAAAAAAAACACAAATGTGATTATTTTGATTGCAGATAAAACTAAAAAAAACTCTAGATCTGGCAGCACCTGTGGAAAGAGAAACAGAGTTAATGTTTCAATTGCAACATGAACTTTCTTCAGAGCTGGTAGCATTTTCTATCATTATTCCAAATCTATACTATGTTGCTTTTATATTACAGCAAATTATCTTTGTACATTGCAACATGAACTTTCTTCAGAACTGGTAGCATTTTCTATCATTATTCCAAATCTATTCCATGTTGCTTTTATATTGCAGCAAATTATCTTTGCACTAAAGAATACTGCCTGTGGTAATAAACTGATGGAGATTGTAATTTCTAAGATGTGCAGATATTTCTAATAATTCAGGTTGCTCTCATTTTATTTGCCGATAATTTTATTGGTGTTTCTGTAAAGCTAACAGAAGAACAATACCCCACAATGGACACCAGCTATCCTGCAATCTCCAAAATTAGAGAAATTATTCAGATTAGATGCATCAGAGATAGCAAGTGACTGCTCACCTGGAAGGGAGTGAAGAGGCAGAAATGTACATACATGACATTTTAAAACCAGTAATCAGCCCACTGAAAGGGACAACAGGTCAAAGTGCATTCCTGAGCCTGGCAAGTTCTTGAAGGGTCAAAGGTTAAGAACGGTATAGCAGAATTCTGCTACTTGACTTATTTTGAGTGGGGAGAAGCTACGGGAGCAGAAATGTTTAGGGAATTACTTAGAAATGCATCTCCTGACAGTGGCAGACTTTTGACTACCCCAATACCTCGAGGGCCAGGGACGAAAACAATTGGTCCCCACAACCTACAAAGGGATCCCTCAGCATTAACACCTAGCAAAGATGGATGAAAGGGTCATCACCAAAGTTTAATCTCATCATGCCCCAAGTTCAGACCCAGTGAAATCCAGCAAGAATCTCAATTACCTCACAAGAACACCTCAGGGGAGTTCAACTTTTCACCTTGCCTCGTAATACCTCACCAAGCAGCTGTCACTTGTCATCCTCCACTTTCAATAATTTCCTCCCCTCCATCACACAGTTCAGCAGGAAATTACCAGACACAGTGCCACACTTTTCCTCATTCCAAATACTCTCACTCCTTGCCTGCCTTTCTTCCGCAGACACCGTCACCATCTCATGTACAACCCCCTTGAACAACCAACACCTCCCACTGTTCATAGAATCCCTACAGTGCAAAAAGAGGCCTTTTGTCCCAGCAGGTCTGCACAGCATCACAACCAGATCCCCCATCCTGTAACCTCCCATTTCCCATGGCTGCATGTCCGTGGACACTATGAGGCAATTTAGCACAGCCAATCCACCTAGCCTGCACATCTTTGGACTGTGGGAGGAAACCAGAGCAACCAGAGGAAACCCACGCAGACACGAGGAGAATATGCAAACTCCACACAGACAGGAGCCTGAGGCTGGAATTGAACCCAGGTGCCTGACGCTGTGGGGCAGCAGTGCTAACCATTGAGCCATAAACACAGTTTCTGTCATATTCGTCACCATTTCATTCTCATTCCACCAATCCTTCTTTCTGCCTCTTTCAATGTGTCTACTTTGTCCACAAGCCCTGCAATCAGCTTGATTCATCTTTGCAACAGGCATTCACTAACTCACTCCCTCTCTTTCTACAGGACAAGGTTAGGGCAGAGGACTAAAGTTTCTGCATAAGAAAGCACCTCACAGAAGGACAATCCTCCTGAGCATCCTCTTAGACACCTAGAGAGTTTCATTCCACATACAGTACATAGTGAACTACTGCTGCGTGTAGCACCTCCTGCCAGGAGATCTCCTGTCATGAAATGTCATACGTGTGAAGCCCCTGGAGAACCTTTTTTCCATAAACAAAATTAAACATACTATGTGGGTGCAAACTGCGATTGTAATCTGGTCAAGTTTGGAAGACATTAGACACAAACTGGATATACAATTGATTTGAAAGGTTTTCAGGAAGTTTTTGTCAACATTCCACATGCTAGCAAATGTAAGAGGCTAGTGAATATAGGTGCCCTCTGCTAACTGCCTTAAAAATAATGACTAGGTTAACTAAAAAATATAGTCGATGCTATAAAGAGATTATGAAATGAAGTATATCCAGGGTTCTGACATGTGCCTCATCTTAAGTCTAAGAATTATACGCAAGACATAACAAATGCAAAACCTTGACAACACCTGAATTTGCACTTAATATCAAAATAAGAAGCAGGACAAATAATTTGGAACAATCAAATGCAGATTAACATTTTCGCTATGGGACTATTGTGGATAAGTGAAACCTTAATATGGAAACAAGAAACTAAAAGAAAGAGTCTCTACTTTATATGTACAAAGTGATCGGACAAATAAATCCGATTTTGATTGTTGTGTACAGTTTTGGACACCAAATAACAGACTCCCCCTAACATGCTGCAGGAGTGCATAAAAACATAATTCTATTGGAAAAATGTTTGACGTGTATGTTCGAGAAAGTTTAATAAAGTTAGACATGCTTTTCAAAACTGATTGCAAATTCAAATTTCACAAGTCTTTTCCTACACTATATTGGAAGTATAGGTTCCTCACTTGTCTTGTGGTACTGAGCATACTCCAGTACCTCACTCAATTATTCAATTATGAGTCTCAATAGTGCCATTTATATATAATTGATCACTAAAGATTGCCTATTGTGGAGATGTTGGTTGGTTCACCGAGCTGACTGGTTTTCATGCAAAGGTTTCATCCCCCTTTTAGCTGACATCTTCAGTGCTGTCTACCCTCCGTTGAAGCTCTGTTGTTCTGAATTTATATGGTCTGGTCTGTCATGGTGGGTAGTCTTGTTTCCGGCTTTGCTCTGTAGCGATATGTAGATGGAGTCCCATCTACATACCACTACAATACAAAATGGGAAACGAGACTACCCACCATGACAGACCAGACCATATAAATTCAGAACAACAGCGCTTCAACGGAGGGTAGACAGCACTGAAGATGTCACCTAAAAGAGGGATGAAATGGTTGCACGAAAATCAATCAGCTCGGCGAACAAACCATCAACTCCAGCCACAACCCGAGCTACAGATCTTCGCTAAAACATTAAATGCCTATTGTAAGGCCACTTTGTTAAAACAAAATGAAAGAGATATTCATATCTCGATACCAGCAAAGAGAAACAATCATGCCTCCACCCTCAATTCACTTCAAGTTTGTCAAACTAAATTTGTAGATTTTTAATCAACCTGTTTATGCATGTTATGGAGCAGGTAGGACTTGTATGAGACCCATTGGCCCAGAAGCAGGGTCACTATAACTATGCCACAAGAGCCCTCAATCTTGATTTGTGTACGTACTGGAAGAGCATGAGTATGGCTAGGAGCCAGCATGAGGTTAGGAGATAGTCATAGAGGCATAAAGCATGGAAACAGACTCCAACTCGTCCATGCTGACCAGATATCCTAAACTAGTCTAGTTCCATTAGCCAGCATTTGGCCCATAACCCTCTAAATTCCTCCTATTCATGTACCCATCAGATGCCTTTTAAATGTTGTAATTCTACCAGCCTCCACCACTTCCTCTGCCAGCTCAGTCCATACATGCACCACCCTCTGCATGAAAAAGTTGCCCCTCAGGTCCTTTATATATCTTTCCCCTCTCACCTTAAACCAATGCCCTCTAGTTTTGGACTCACCCACCCCAAGGAAAAGACCTTGTCTATTTACCCTACCCATGCCCCTCATGAATTTATAAACCTCTATAAGGTCACCCCTCAGCCTCCAACACTCCAGGGAAAATAGGCCCAGCCTATTCAGCCTCTCCCTATAGCTCAAATCCTCCAACCCTGGCAACATCCTTGTAAATCTTTTCTGAACCTTATTAAGTTTAACAACATCTGTCCTATAGCAGGGAGACCAGAACTGAATGTAGTATTTCAAAAGTGGCCTAACCAATGTCCTGTACAGTCACAACATGACCTCCCAACTCCTATTCTCAATGCACGGACCAATAAAGGCAAATGTACCAAATTCCTTCATTATTACCCTCTCTACTTGTGACTCTACCTTCAAGGAACAACAAGCCTGCACCCCAAGGTCTCATTGTTCGGCGACACTCCCCAGGACCCTACCATTAAGCATTTAAGTCCTGCCCTGATTTGCCTTACCAAAATGTAACACCTCATATTTATCTAAATTAAGCTCCATCCACCACTTTTTGGCCCATCACCCAATGGATCAAAGTTCCACTGTACTCTGAGATAACATTCTTTACTGTCCACTACACCACCAATTCCGGTATCATCTGTAAATTTACTAACCATACCTCCTATATTGACAGGCAAATCATTTATATAAATGACAAAAAGCAGTGGACCCAGCACCGATACCTGCAGCACACCACTGGTCACAGGCCTCCCTCCACCACCACCATCTGTCCCCTATCTTCGAGCCAGTTCTGTATCCAAATGGCTAGCTCCTCCTGGTTTCCTTGTGATCTAACCTTGCTAACCAGTCTACAACGTGGAACCTTGTCGAACGCATTGCTGAAGTACATACAGACAACGTCCACCGCTCTGCCTTCATCAATCTTCTTTGTCACGTCTTCAAAAAACTCAGTCAAGTTAGTGAGACATGATTTCCCACACACAAAGCCATGTTGGTTATCCCTAATCAGTCCTTGCCTTTCCAAATACATGTAGATCCTGTCCCTCAGAATCCCCACCAACAAATTACCTACCACTGACATCAGACACGCCGGTCTATAGTTCCCTGGCTTTTCCTTACTACTTTTCTTAAATAATGGCACCACATTAGCCACCCTCCAGTCTTCTGTCACCTCATCTGTGGTTATTGATGAAACAGATATCTCAGCAAGGGGCCCAGCAATCACTTCCCTAGCTTCCCAGAACGTTCTGGAATACATTTGATCAGGTCCTGGGGGTTTATCCACCTTTACGCATTTTAAGACGTCCAGCACCACCGTTTCTGTAATATGGACACTTTTCAAGATATCATTGTTTATTTCTTCAAGTTCTCTAACTTCCATATCCTTCTCCACAGTAAATTCTGACACGAAATACTCATTTAGTATCTCACCCATCTCCTGCAGTTCCACACATAGATGGCCTCATTGATGTTTAAGGGCCCCTATTCTCTCCTCATTATGCTTTTGCCCTCAATGAATTTGTAGAATCTCTTTGGATTCTCCTTGATTCTACTTGCCAAAACTATCTCGTGTCCCCTTTTGCCCTCCTGATTTCCTCCTTGAGTATACTCCTATTGCCTTTATACTCCTCCAGGGATTCACTTGATCTCTGCTGTTGGTACCTGACATATGCTTCCATCTTTTTCTTGACCAGTGCCTCAATTTCTCCAGTCATCCAGCATTCCCTACACCTACCAGCCTTGCCCTTCACCCTTACAGGAACATACTGTCTCTGACCTCTCATTATTATGTTTCTGAAGGCCTACCACTTTCCAATGTTCCTTTACCCTGAATATTCTCCCCCAATCAACTTTTGAAAGTTCTTGCCTAATATTGTCAAAATTGGCCTTACTCCAATTTAGAACTTTAACTTTTGGATCAGGTCTAACCAAAGAATCCTTACAGTGTGGAAACAGGCCATTCGGCCCAACAAGTCCACACTAATCCTCCAAACAGCAGCCCACCCAGACACATCCCCCTACCAATTCCCTGTCATGCTACATTTCCCATGTCTAATGCACCTAACCTACACATCCCTGAACACCATGGGGCAATGTAGCATGGTCAATCCACCTAACTTAGACTGTGGGAAAAAACTGCAGCACTCTGTGGAAATCCACGCAGACACAGGGAGAACTTGTAAACTCCACACAGTCACCCAAGGCTGGAGTTGAACCCACGTCCCTGGCACTGTGAGGCAGCAATGCTAATTAATGAGCCACTGTGTCACCCTTTGAGCCACCATGCCATCCTTTGCTGTAACTATTTTAAAACTAATAGAATTCTGATCAGTGGCCCCACTGACACCTCAGCCACCTGCCCTGCCTTATTTCCCAAAAGAAGTTTTGCTCCTTCTCTGCAGGTACATCCACGTACTGAATAAGAAAATTTTCTTGTACACAATTAACAAATTCCTCCCCATCCAAGCCCTTAACACTATGGCAGTCCCAGTCTATGTTTGGAAAGTTAAACTCCCCTACCATTACAGCCCTGTCATTCTTACAGGTAACTGGAATCTCCTTACGAATTTGCTTCTCAATTTCCCAGTGGGTCTTTAGTACAATCTCAATACGGTAATCATCCCTTTCTTATTTCTCAGTTCCGCCCATATAATTTCACTGGACATTCAGGAATATCCTCCCTAAGTACAGTCATAATGTTATCCCTAACCAAAAATGCCACTCCTCCTCCTGTCGTGTCCCCCCTTCTATCCTTCCTATAGAATCTATACCCTGGAACATTAAGCTGCCAATCCTGTCCATCCCTGAGCCACGTTTCTATAATTGCTATGATATCCCAGTCCCATGTTCCCAACCATGTCCTGAGTTCACTGCCTTACCTGTCAGATCTCTTGCATTGAAATAAATGCAGTTTAATTTATCTGTCTTACCTCATTCTCTGCCATGCTCATGCCTGCCTTGACTGTTTAACTTGCTCCTCTTCTCAACTGTACCAGCCTCAGACTTATCTCTTTTCTCATTATCTCCTTGGGTACCCCACCTCAACATACTAGTTTAAAGCCTCCAGAGTAACATTAGCAAATCTCCCTGCCAGGATATTGGCCCCCTTCCAATTCAGGTGCAATCTGTCCTTTGTATAGAAGTCACTTCTATCCCAGAAGAGGTTCCAGAGATCCAAAAATGCAAATACCTGTCCCCCTTCACCTGCTCCTCAGCCACGCTCTATCCTCCTATTCCTATTGTCACTAGCATGAGGTTAGTCTGTTAAAATGTATAGTAATTAATGCTGCTCAGAGCATTTCAGTAGAGCAATGGGCAAGTGGCCAAAGCCTTGGTGGGGAGGGGGTGGTGTTGGCGGGGGGGGGGGTCGTTGGTTGGGGGGGGGGGGGGGGTTGGCGGGGGGGGGGGGGGGTTTG